CTCTGTCCTCAGTGTGATATCGTCCAGGACTCTGTCCTCAGTGTGATGGACATCTCATCATCACTTGGAGACACGAACAGGAAATGATCAGGACCAGTGTTTCTTGTGTTTTCAGTCATAGAACTCCGTCGCAGTCGGTCAGGTTCTTACTTAAATTCTGTGTTTTGGATTTAAATTAGTTTATTTTCGTCCAAATGAGTCCACAGTCGGAGCTAAAAGGACCAACGGTCCAGACGACATCATCGTCTCTCCAACAACATTAAAAACTTCAACAATGTGACGGCAGGGGGGGTTCAAGTCTCTTAACGGTCCGCTCGGTTCTGTTCTGCCCTCCAGGAGCGCTTCAGCTACGTCTGTCCAGATTTAGTCAAAGAGTTCCAGAAGTACGACACGGACGGCACCAAGTGGATCAAGCAGTACACCGGCATCAACGCCATCAGCAAGAAGGAGTTCACCATCGACGTGGGCTACGAGCGCTTCCTGGGGCCGGAGATCTTCTTCCATCCAGAGGTGGGCCGCCCCTCCTGTTTGTTTTTAACAACAGCTTGAATTTTAAACTTGACAAAGGCAACTGGCACTAAACCTGTTGTTTCCATCCCAGTTTGCTAACCCAGACTTCACCCAGCCCATCTCTGAGGTGGTGGACGAGGTCATCCAGAACTGTCCCATCGATGTCCGACGTCCTCTCTACAAGGTGAGGACATGCGTCCAACAAACAAGATCTGCGCTACTACAACCTGAGGAGGGTCCACCTGGAGCCTTTAACATCTCTGCTTTTCTAAAACGTGTTTATTTTAAATCACATGTGGGGGGAAATATTTAACAGACGGACCAAAACTTCCTCCTCCGTAAAAAAAAAACAATGTTTGTCATTCAGACTCGAGTGTTTTTCCTCTGAGAATCTCAGATTAGCTGATCGGGTTCAGGTGTCCGGTGCTTGCTGCTCTCTCAGCTCCTCGTTTGTTTCCTTCCTCAGAACGTCGTCCTGTCCGGAGGCTCCACCATGTTCAGGGACTTCGGCCGCCGCCTGCAGAGAGACCTGAAGAGGACGGTGGACGCTCGGCTGAAGCTGAGCGAGGAGCTGAGTGGAGGCAAACTGAAGGTCAGAGGAGCTTTTCAAACAATGTCACAGGTCCATGAAAACTGTGTCTCAACGCTTCAAGTCCAGAAATTAGTTTTTAAAACCTTATTCTAAAAGTGTTTTGTCTGCCGTCCCTCTCTAAAATCAACTCTGGATTCCATTAAAGTTCACTTCATGAATAAATTCTTCAAAACGTGCAGATTTCTCTCAGCTGTTAAGTTATTACGGCTGTAAAAATTTAATCCACTTTAATCGCATCAAACTTACCGTAATCGTTTTAAAAAGTCATAACCGTTCTATTCATTTTATTGGAAACGTTGAAGCTCTCGGGGCGTCTGAATCTGATTATTTATTTTGATCCTCCGCAGCCCAAACCGATCGACGTGCAGGTCGTCACTCATCACATGCAGAGATACGCCGTGTGGTTCGGTGGATCAATGTTAGCATCAACCGTAAGTACCTCAGATAAACTCTTCGTCAATATGACGGCGCCAGTAAATCAAATTTTAGTGCTCAGAAAACGTGTCTCGCTCAATATTCCAGACTTTAAAAATCTGTGTGTGGTTTAAATTGTTTGACTAGAAAAACGTAACTTTCTGTACTGTTGCATATTTTGGTTAACTGCTTCATCTTAGAGCTGATTATGCTAGAGGCAAGTGGGATCATAAGAACAGAGTTGGAGATGATCATAAACAAACGCTGAAAGAGTTCATTATAACTCATGGTTAAAAACATTTAGCATAGATGCTAACTCAACATTGAAAACTGTAAAGAAAAGCTAACGCGATTAGCAATGTGTTTATCCACAAAGTAAATGTTTGAGTCATCATCACAGACAGTCCAGTTATAATAACTTCAACGTTCAGGTACATCCTGTTATGAACTTTTACATTGTTGTTAATTTGGCATTAAATAATCATTTACAGGATTATTTTCCCTCTCAAAAGGTGGTAGCAGCTGGCTGTAGACTTTAGGGCAGCCTGAGATTGAAGACTAGCTGATGGCTCAGACTAGTCATTAGCTCGCACTAGCCGTTAATGCGGACTAGTTAACACGGACCAGCTACTAGCTCATATGGACTAGCAGTTAGCTCAGATTAACTGTTGGCTCAGACTAGCCATTAACGTGGACTAGTTGCTAGCATGGACCAGCCACTAGCTTGGATGAACTAACTTTCAGACTAGTTTTTTTTTCATTACGCTTGTCGACGGGGTGGTGGGCAGCGGAGCGCTACGGTTGCATTGTGCATGATTGTCGCGGTTTGTAGTCTTTGGGTTGAGCTGCTAATCTCCACTCCCCATCCGGAAGTGACAGCTGCATGGGGGGCTGGGGGGATTTGGTAGGCAGGGCGCTGTTTTGTTGACAGGGCGGGGTGCCCTCCTTGATTAATTGTAGAGAAATCACCTCAGTTAGTGCAGACTAGCCGTTAGCATATACCAGCTGTCACCTCGGTAATGGCGCTTTGCCTCAAGTCTCATCTGTTCCACAGCACCAGCTAAGGGCCTCTCTGCTGTCGGTACCACACACTCAGCCCGGTTTATGGGACCACCTTCTTTGAGGTTCCAAGTGGGCTGCTTCAGGGGCATGATACTGTCATAAGCAGACGGAAGCCGTTGATTGGCCCGCGGAGCTACATCACTGGAGGACCCGCCCATCAAAACTGTCAATTACATCTGATCCTCCACTTCCCCATCAAACTGATGGATGACATCACAAGAAATGAGCTCATTTGCTGAGAGATGGCGGAGATGATAGCGCATCATGGTTACACCCGGACTTGTACGCAGTGCCAGGATAAGCTAAAGAAATTAAAATCCCATTATAGGGTGATTTAAGATCCACAACGGGCGGAGTGGCTTGAACGCAATGACCAGTTACGATACCGCCCACTTTGCAGAGAGCGGGGAAATGGGTCAGACTCCACTGTAGTGGCAAATCACCTCCACCTGAGAAAAAACGAGAAGAGGAGAGTGGAGCTAAGTTAGTCATGGAGCTCCTCAGGGTTCAGTGCTTGGACCAATACGCTTTATATATGCTTCCATTAGGTATGCTTATTAAACAGCATGGGATACATTTTCATTGTGGTGCTGATCATACACAGTTATATTTGACCATGAAACCCAATGAATCCGATCAGTGGATGGAAATCAATCACCATTGGCAAAGTGGCAATAGATTTGCCATTAGCTCAAACCAGCCCTCAGCGCTAACTAGCGTTAGCTTGGACTAGTATTTAGCTCACCACAACTGTCAGAAATAAACTTTATTTTTCCAAAATAATGTTACACTTCAAAATGGCTGAATTATCTTTTCATCAAATGGTTTAAACACAAACAACTTCCCTGTTCAATCATAGAAAACTTAAAGTACCGGTAAAACTGAAGCGGTTTAAAAAAAAGTTATGATTTTTAAAAAGCTGAAAACTTTAATAAAACCAACACACTTGTCTTGTTTTATTCTGCTCAGCCCGAGTTTTACCAGGTGTGTCACACCAAGAAGGACTACGAGGAGATCGGGCCGAGCATCTGCCGCCACAACCCCGTGTTCGGCGTCATGTCTTAACTTCTGGGCCCGGCGAAGTCGGAGCAGCAGCAGCAGCGAGACGCTTTGGAGTTCTCCTTCAGGATGTTCGTGACAAGAAGGCGATCCAGACAATTTGAAAATAATAAAAAGTCAAAAGAGAGCAGAACAAACGGATGGGCTGGGAATTTGATGTGAATGTTTTTTTTTGTTTTTATTTTCAAAGTGAGGGAACACGGTTTGTAATCCAGAAGTTTCAGAACATTTCAGGTTCTTTAGGTGATGATCAAGATGCTGTTAATACGTTTTATAACATCAGAACAGATTATTTATGACTCCTGCTTTACGTCTCTTTATTCATTAATTAATTAGAAACGTTTCTCTTATTTCGCTTCTGTTTCTGCTTATGTCTGTAACCTGTTAGTTTGTTTATATTTCATACAAAGGTTTTTCCTATTTGTAAAATGTTGGTGACTCCGGTGAAACCCGTTAACGGTTTCGGATGCAGCTTTGAGGTTTTTCTTTCAGTTTAAGGTTTTATTTCCCACGTTTCATAAATCAATCTGCTTTCACCTCAAACCGTCGACACGCAGTGGAACAAACGGAGGTTATTAACGAGGAAAATTATTAAAATGACTGTAAGAACAGTGTTGTTTTTTATTATTAAATACCAAACTATTAAAAGAAATTAACTTGTGTATTTAATGCCTTGCAACATTCCAATAAAGGCTGTGATTTGTTTCTAAACTTTTCTTTTTTTTAAGAAAATCCATTTTTGCTCATTCGACTTCGATACCAAAGGTTTTAGATGTTGCTTTTTATTTATTCGTAAAGTTTTCCATCTTGAGTTATAGTTAAAATCTTAATGTCAGCTTCTTTTGCAAAGGAAACCTTTGATAACATTTTGTTATAATTTTAGTTTAATGTCCTTTTTCTTTATTTTTTCCATTAGCAAATTAAAAAAGTGGCATCACAAAATAAAAATAAAAAAACGTAGATTTAGACCGAGTTTAAATTAAAAGCTAATTGTAGCAGTTGAGCAGTTTACTTTAATTCTGTCTCCGAGCGGAATATCCTGTTCGTTAAAACGAATGATGGGGAACGTGTGTTTTATGAATGTGAGATTGTAAGTGGTTTATGGAAGGAGTTGCATAACTCGTTGATATCCAAGTCTCTTAAAATAGTTTTTTTTTTCTTGGAAAGTAATAAAATTTGGAAATTTATTAAAGAATAAAAAAATTGAATATTTGATCAATATTATAATGTTTGCCAAATTCTACATCCATAAATATCGTTTTACAAAAGCTCTTCCTATTCTAAAAGTGTTTGAGAATGAGTTTGTATTATCTGGTAATTCTTTAAAAAAAAATTAGACAGCCCCTACTATCAAATTTTTCTCTATATTTTCAGAGTTTAAGTTGTTATAAACCCCAGGATTTACTTTAATTTTTTTTACGTGTTAAATTTCAGGATTTGTGATTTCCTTAAGTTTTCTATATATTTTGCTGGATATAATATTGAAGTTATAATTTTTGTATAAAAAAATTATTATTGATAGGGAAGTTTTGCCATGTTAGCTGTAATACATTTGTGAAATTGTCATTGCCTTAGTTTTTTTTTTATTTTTCTAATTAAAAAAATAAAATGAAACGAATGATAGGGCAGCTTGTTCAATCAACCAATCAGATCAAGAGTAGGAGCCAGTGGGCGTGTTTTAAGTTTCTCCTCCACGTTGCCAAATGTACAATAGATATACGTTAAATAGTAACGCACAAATATACAAAAGTTTTAGCACGTCCATGCACCGAAAAACACTTTTACACCATCACCCACATAACATCGAAAAGTCCTTCCTTAACCACTACTGAAAAAAGTGCACCTTCACTCCTCACACTTGATAGTTTTAAATAAATTACAAACATTTTAAAGCGACATTGCGGTAGTTAATTTCCTATTTGGCAACCCTGTCACTACGGCTCCTCCAAGGCTTTGTCTGAACGACAGACAATTTCCCGCCTTTGGCTTCACTGAAAAGGAAACCACCATATGTGACATTATTCTGGATTAAGTACCGGTTCCTTTTTTATAGACGACCGTTCACTAAAACGGATGGATTAAAAAATACAAACAAACAAACAAACAAACAAAAAACCAGAGTAACACGGAATTACTCGGAGCCTTTTCAACGATGGATTAGCTAATGCTAACATTTCCGGGACAACTAGCTACCTACGGCTATTTATCAGTAAGTAACTGATCAATCATTTTCTGCCTATAATCAAATGTTACCAGGTGTATTATTTGTACAGAAATGCTGTAAGTTAACTTGGTATTAGTTAGAGTTAAATTCTATTATTTCCCCACAAATTGTCCAGTTTATTATGAGCAGATTAATTTTAAGACGTTGAAATATAAAGTTTTTTTTAGGTCGAACACTGATGTAAAAGTCCTAAAAGTTTATTTAATGCTCACTCAATAAACACTGAATTTTGACCTTTTGTTGATCTGCACATATATGTTGACTTAAAGATAAATATTACCCAGGATGAGTGGTTTTTTTTAAACTTAAAGTTGGTTTTACAATAAAAACAAAACCTCTAAAGGACGAATATGAGTTTAAAACCACAAATTTTGTAACTTCCTGTACCATTTCAGCCTTTATTTCTTAATTGCAAACATTTTTAAGGGGTTTCTTTGGAAAACTTTAATTGGAAAATAATGAAATTTCTCGTTTAATTGTTGGAGACAAGTTAAAAATATAGAAGCAAAAGAATATTTAACTGACTGTAGTTAAACCTGTGACGGATCTGAATTTTGTCACACTTTGTCAGAAAATTGTCCAACAGTTAAATAAATGTTTGTCTTTTTAACATCAGGAGTGTGTAAAAATGTGAAAATATTAAATCGGTCTCGGAAATGTTCAGGGTTTAAAGACATCAGAAGCTCGTCATCAGCAAAGCTTTGTCAAGAGGACAAACTCTAGAGACTTCTGTGGACGAGAGCTCGTTTCAGGAGGACGGTGGACAATGTTCTGTGGACTGATGAGTCCACAGAACATGTGACTGGTCAAATATAAGAGCACAGTTCCATCCGGGTCATTAGACGGACCATCCTGAGAACTAAGAATTCAGGATTTGGTTTCTGAAACGTCGGGCTGCAGAGCTAAACGGGTGCCGTTTCACTGCACGATTGTCTCCGTACACGTTCTCCTGGTGTCTGAATTTCCTCCGGGCTTTCTGCCTTTCTTCTGCAGAAACCAACATCCGGGTGAGTCGGAGGCTCAGAAGAACCAGGGGCTGAGTGGATCGACTCGGTTCTGCGTGATCTCATCCACAAGGTAACAATTCTCATCAGGGTCACAGAAACGCCAACGGGGTTTAAAATACAGTTTCTGTGTCAAACTTGAGGTTTTTGTACCAGAACTGGTCTGAAACTGTGAACAAGCAGTCGGAGCCCCAAAGAAAAGACCTTCAGCACGTCTGGAGATCTGGACCGCTTTAAGAAGCAAAATCTAAAGAAATGAGGACTGAATCTGGACATGGAGTAAATGTCTTCCAGCACAAAGCCAAACGTTTTATTAGTTTCAGTCAGTTGACCTAAAAACTTTGTCGACTTAAAATCTTCTGTACTCTGTATTTTTTAATATTTAAATTTTAGCCAAAATGGACAGATGTGAAAAAATGACAGCACCCACTCAAGTTGATCTATCGGACCGATGAAAAGAATGGAACATAAAGATCGCGGGCTAGCTGAATTAGCATTAGCACATGACTCTGCAGCCGAAGTTGAGCGTCCTTCAGCTGCAGGACTCAAGGCGAGTAAATGTCAAAGTGGATCGCTGTGTCTTCAAACAACAAAAGTATTGTAACAATTCAAGCAAACTTTTAATAAAAAAAAAACCTTTCACAGCACGTTTCTGCAGGACGTGCCTCCAGACTGCATTGGAAGTGCTATTGCTAGCTGCTGCTGCACTTTGTGCTTCCAATATTCATGACTCGTGAAACTGACGACAATATAAAGATTTATAAAATATGGTTTACACGAACTGCTGACATTTTTATTTTAAGACTGACATTGTTTTCGTCCAAACAGTTAGCTCATTGATCCGGTCAGAAATAAACTCAGTCTTTCCAGACCGAGGGTGTTCAATGAACTATCTGCAACAGGTAAGATATTTACTGTTTATAATCTTTTTACAGAGCCCCACTTCAAAATGTCTGAGTCTTTGTTTTTAAATGTAAATGTAAAACCTCTCTGGTCTAAACGTCAAAGAAAGAGGTCATTGTTTTGGCCTCCGTCGTATCACCCTCTGTTCTGAGAGTTCGTTTCTTTTTATCGTTTAAATCTGCGACAGATTAATAAAACGAAGGGGCGTCGGCGTGCTCCGCGGGTCAGAACGTTACAGCACAACAAGAAGCAAATCTGCATTTAAATGGAGTTAGCATCCACACAGGAAGTCCGTTCAGGACTGAAAAGGCTGTTGGGGACGATAAATCAAGTCTGACGTAATCTGCATCAACTCCGCAAAATGCCTCTTAATCCTGACGGGATTAAAAATGATACTCGCCTGGTGAAATATTACTCTGCGAGGATCTTTTAAAAAGAAGTGTTAGCTGTTTTGTACTCAGTCAGATCCAGCTCGGTTGTCCTTAAGTTCAAATGTGTTCTACTTTTGGGTCATTTTCTGAGTGAAACCTCCTCATTGTCCGACAGACGTCCCCCTGTTGGCGTTTTTACTTCTGAATTTCTGTGAAGCTGAACGAAGAAACCGCCGGATTGAAAGCAATTTATTTGAGTCTGAGCGCTGAAGATGAGCAGAGTGATGAAGAACGTGCTCCTGTGTTTAGTGGCTGCTTTTATTGCGGCGGCGTAGGTCAAAGGTCAGGAAAGATGACGCCAGCGTTGCGCTTGCGATCCAAACCGACGCGTCGGTCCTCCTGCTTCCACTTCAGAGCCTCCGTCATGATTCATCCGAGGCCCGATGACACCCGGGCTGCTCTGATTGCTCGTCCTCCTGCTTTACGGCGCAAAGCGATATCTTTTTATCTCCGGTAAGAGCCGGAATCAGACGCCGCTTCAGCTGAGAGAGAGGGGCGATCAGAGGAAGATTAATATCATCCGACAGCAGGAAGCAGCTGCTTGTTACGGCCTTCTGCTGAAGGGAAAGAAGGTTTGGACCGCATGCTTTGTGTCCAATTAAACAGGAGTTAAAGTAAATGATAACCTCGTTTAAAGTTGATGTCAGGAAAAATTAAAGCTTCAACAAAGGATGGGAGTAAAAATCTACTAATTACTCTTCAGACATCTGGCAGCAGCAGGTAGCTGTAGCACATCTGGTGCAGCCTGTGGTCACATAGTTCTGACCCAGTAAACAGAACTGTAAAGATTTTACGAAACAGAGTTTTTATGAGTCGTTCTGAATATTTTCAGGTTGTCAAGATGACAGCGATCCACTTTGGTCCTGGTTCTGCTTGGACTACCAGCCAGAGTCAAACACTGAGCTAATATACCGTAATTTCTGGACCATTGAGTCAGAGTCACAGTTTCTTTATTGTCATTCGCACCTCATGTGGTACATGTGGTGGAGCGAAATTGTGTACACA